GTAGCCCTTCAGTTCAATTAAACAGGGACTTTCCACCGCTCAGTCCTTTAAGATAAGAGATACTCTTGTCTCTAGGCACAGGCATCCTTTGGGACACTGCTGTTGGTTCCTGTTAAATTACCATTGAAAGGCAGATAATTATTGTTGTAAAGAGGAGGAAAATATTCTGACTTTTAAAGATGTCAGAGGAATTTTCCTCTTTAGTTCGAAGGCTTGGTAAAGCTGGCGGGGGATAGGCAGGTGCCTTCTATCGTTTGATGCGGCCTGCCTCCTGCTCCAGACCTACCAGAAAGAAACTTCAGCCCGGTTTTATACTGGTATTATATTTAATCTACTCCCTGACACAGCCTTAATGCCTGAAGCACCGAGACTCAAAATACTGATTCTTAACGTTAAATTAGCTACTACAGGGTTCTCAAACAATGCTCTTGTGACTGGTGACTCAGAAATCTTCTCAGGGAGTCTAAAGAACAATTTTTTTTTTTTTATTTAAACAGTAGTGAGCAAGGAGTTATTAAGGAAGGCGCGCCGGGAAGGATCTTCTGCGGTCATCTTGTCACTTAGAAAGGAGACACATACAAGCACCGCATTTTTAAATGTGCATGATACCTGCTAGCACTCACTGGTTTAATGAATGCTTTGTTACCTCTAAAATGGTGCTAAACTATTGCAGTGCCAGCAAGAGAGCTGCGAGGCCTGGAAACCTCGTCAGGATCCTTTGGCTGCTCGCAGTGCGCGAGCTCCCGTCCGGGGGTCCCAGAGCCGCTGGGGCCTGGCTGCGCCGCACGCCGCGATGCTCGGCAGCGCTCTTCCTCCCGAGCGCCCGGCTCTGCCCTGCTTTTCCTTGCCTGCCCCTTCCCAAGTAGAAATGCTGTTACTAAGCGTTTCAAATACTTGCGTGAACATCGCAAAGAGACACCTGATGTGTTAACAAAACATTCGTATTATATAGAATCTATGTTTACATATTATTTTACTATGTTTACACAGTACGTCACTCCGCGGCCACGCATGAGGCACGTGCTCTGGACTAAACCAAATATTTAAATGGCTTTGTGTTGAGAACCGACATGTGTAAGGAAAAGGATTTGTAATGTGATTTAATTGATTTATGCAATTGAAAACCAAAACAAAACACCACTGTTATGTACTATAAATGACTCCTTTGTCTTCTACAAAATTTAATTTGTTTACATGCCCTGCAGCCATCCTGAGAGAACAGAATACATGGCAGCTCCTTTTTGGTACTGTGTGAAAAAGACTCAGGAAAGGGAGGATGAGAATGGCTGGAGGGTTATGAGACGGAAGAGATGAGTGCTCAGATAAAAAGCAGCCCAAGGGAAGATAACAAATTCCCAGAAAAACAGATCAATAACGATGTTAACTATGCAGCTGCAAATGCACCTATTTGCATTTTGAAAACATTTCCCCCACTACTTCACTATGCCCAGGGTCTCTAGGACACTCTGCAACAGATACGTCACCTCTGAAAGCGCAGTATTTTAATGAAACGTCAAGATCCCGAGGATGCCGCCGCGTTTGTCAGTACAGGACTACAAGAAGCACCAGCTTACCTTCCCCTCCTGCTGCCTGCTCAGTAAGATGCAAGGATCTGAGACTGCTCTAACGTACAAGTAACTCCCAAACAACTTTCCACTGATTTTGTCTCCTCCCTTTTCCCTTTTACCTCCCTGGACCTTTCACCCTCTGGCTCCCTTGGGAAAACCATGACGAATTTCCACCTGGAAACTCCAGTCTCAGTGTTAGGTAGCCTCTTTTTGTTGTTGTTGATGGCCTTTCCTCTCCACCCTCTTTCTCTTCACCACATTGAGACTTTTGACAAGGTCAGACAATTCATCTTTGCTTCTATATTTATATCGGGGAAGCTCCCTTTAGTAGCATGATCGCGTTTCGGATAGGACAGCTTGACAAAACCAGTGGATAAGAAAGCTCTTGGTACAGAGACCCGGCCTGGTAAAATAAAACATGTTTTAAGAAAAATGAAAACAGCCCAAGTGTTCGTACAAAATAAGCACCCGCTTGCTACACAGGGATTTCTGGCCACAGAATAAATACTACTGAATGGCTCCCCAAAATAACAGCTATCCTAGACACCACTGTATGCTATCTCGCCAGCTTATTGAAACAGAAAGACATCAGGTGGCTTTGTTGTATACTTTGCCCTCAGGACTGCAGTGCGATAGTAAAGGCTAGCACCCAAAGGAGACACGAGTGCAAACGCAGCAAGCGAGGGATGACCACGTCGAAGAAAGTCAGTAAACGGTAACTGGAAGGAACAAACGCAGGGGCCAATGACAGCAGTCCTGCCTCGTTGAACGTGCTGCTTGAATATATTAGAAGATAAGTGAAAGACAGACACAAAGAAGAGAAACCTGAATGCTGATAGCACTTACTGGCAATACGATGATAAAGCGATCAAGAGAACTGAAATAAGTTAGCAAGGAAGTCCTGAAAAAGAGGGAATTGGAAATGAAGATGATGGGTTAAAAAAAAGGCTTTTAAGTATTTGAAAGCAAGTGCAAAAAATAGCAACGAAAACCTGTCTGGGAAAGAAAACAGTACATCTGCCAGCACGAGCAAGGTAGACAGAATGCTGGAGCAATGGTTGTTACGGAAAGACGGAAAGGTAAATTAAAGGAAGCAATGGCTTTGCTGGGCGCAGGCCAGAACGCCGACTGCTCCGTGCAAGAACAAGTGTTCGCCTGTGAAATGCTGGGATGAAACGGCTATGGGTGACACTGTCCCAGGGAAGACTGGTATCAACGTGACTCGAAGCTACACAAAGGCTCCGGAGGAGCGTGGAGTTTAAACTTCAGTTCCTTGCTACTCTTATTTACATTTACGTTCAGTGTGTTATCTTATCTAGAAAGAATGAAATTACTTTCAGGTCAAGTACTCCAGATGTGGTTTTCGTTCAAAGGTACCACAGACCACCTGGTAAAGCAGCTGTACAATAACTAGGTGCTTGCTACAGGGAGCGTCAGCTTATAAGCCCGCCACCTCAATTCATTGATCTTCCTCTGCAACTGTACCTCCCAGATTTTGATTTTTTACTGGTTTCCACAGCACCTCAGACTGCAGAAGTGCACGTGATGACTGTGTGAGCAGTTTGGGTCTCCCAGTTTCACACACACAGGCCCTGTAGTTTCTTTTCATTAAAAACTTTGGGAGGAGTTTTAAAAGGTGACTTTGAAAAGTCTTGTCTTTCATAGGCTGTTTCAAAAGACCATTGGGAAGCGTGGCTAAACCAATTCTGGATATGATTTCTAGTCATCTGAGGCTGCTTTAAGTTCCTTCCATGGGAGCAGTTTGGTAGCGGGTTCCCTGCTGCCTGGGCCTCCAGAAGGCAGGGAACGTTCCCAGCCGTGGCCGTACCGCGGTCCAGCCCGCCCATGGCCTTCCACACCTGCAGCCTCCAGCCCAGCCGCGGGCAAGCCCTGCGGAGGGGGTTAGGGCTGGGGGACGGGGTCAGCCGCACAAGCCGGGCCTCCTCCTCGGGGACCTCTCCGAGAGTCCTCTGCCAGACCAACAGCCCAGGGCTCCTTTATCGCATCCTTCTGCGGGGACAGCATGAGTGGGCTGGAGCGGATCCGTGAGGATTTTCTTCTTTTCCTTCCTCCAGGGGACATAAATACAGGGTGGAGGGGTTTTTTTACTATGAAAACACCAACCCCCCACCTAGCGATACACAGAGCCACAGCTTCAAAGATAACATTTTTTCACTTTCCGGCACCAGGAGAAATCCTTGTTTTTAAAATGTCGTTACCCTTCAAGAGTGAATTGTCTGAATCTGTTTTTCCTTATTATTTGTTTGAATTCTCCCAGCAACTGACCTCCAAATGTAGCACAGGTAGCAAAAGCTGTAACAACATCACCCCTAGGTGTTTCTTTGCATGTGCATTAGTAAAGAGGATCCTAGTAAGTTAGTAACTTAAGAAGTTATTCAGTGTCAGCAAAACCTCAGAAATACGCGCAACCGAATAACCTCTAGATTAGAATCATGTTTTTCACCTGGCTGTCAAGTTGAGGGATTTCTCCCGTGCGCTACCAAGGGCCATTAAAATCTCCTTCCCGCTTGTCCATTTACCCCTGGCTGTGGAGATTCATTTGAAAATACCTTGATGACTCTTCTCCCCAGAACTGCCTTATCTAACCATATCTGAATCACTTCGAAAGGAGCCACATTTCTCCTAGCAACAGAGGAATCAGTCTTAGCAACAAGACAGCTGGAGAATTTTGTTTTCACATAGTTACTCGTGGACAGTACGTTCTGCTTTCCCATGGCATTGCTGTTTGGGTGTTGACTTAGTGTTGCGTAAGAAATGGTACAAATCAGACACTTGCTCACAGCAGAGGCATCGCTTGCAGGGCAAATGGCGCTCTTTCTGCCTTCGATGCTATTTCCTTTAGGAGACAGTGCAGGAGTACTGACTGCTGGAAAGCTCAAAATTTAAGTTTTCCCCATGACAGAGTTACTACAAAGAAACGTGTGAGGAAGCTGACAGTTTCCAAAACCTTGACTTCCCCCACAGAAACCATAGTGGAAAGTCAAAGTATTCGCTCTAAAGGCTCACACCTCAGCCTCTCGTAGCACCTCTTCCTGTTGAGAACAGCTAGAAAGGCTGGATATGAGGTGACTTTTATATATACATATTTTTTCTTATATTTTCTTAGCCAGAATAATTTGGGGAGACATATTATAGCGGGGGAAGCTGGGAACATCAGAGCAATTGCCATTTTGGTTTTCACCTGGGCTGCGGCTTTACAGGACTGGTGGGGAAGCTTCCTGAGGAAGCAATGCTAAGGTGGCATTTCTGAGCAGAGCAGTGGTGTAGTAGTGTCCATCTCCCAATCCCACATCTGTGTAAGGAAATGAGTTACCATATGTATTTTGATCCTATTAAGAAATTCAAAGTGCAGGTAGAACTAGTAAATGCCCTCACGCCTCACCCATGGTCCTTCTCTGTCTGCTCCTGCAGGGGCTGCTGGCATACTGCACGCCGGCTTGGTTCCCTTACTTGTATCCAAATTGAAGACTGAGTCGGATGGGATCCAGGAGCTGGTCCTAGATACGCTCTGCAACTGTCTGCGTGTGGAGGCTTCTGAAGCTCTAGCAGCTGGTGCCATTACTGTCCTGAAGGGAAAGCTCACGCAGTCATCAGCGGCCATCAGAAGCAAAGCGGCTCGGGTCCTGTTAGAAGTCGGGTAACGAAACCTGTCTATAATGCTTGAGCCCAAGAAAATACTCATTTAATGAGGGAATCAGTGTCCCCAGTTTACGGCTGTGTTCCACTACACGCTGAAGCTGTCACATTTCACATGTAAAGCAATATCAGCCTGAATGCACACACAGGTAGAAAACTTCTAAAAATCATAGCTGCTATAAATCACTCAAGAAAGCAGATGCTGAGGAGGAAATGCTGTTCCTTCTCCTTCCATTTGTCTTCAGTATTGGCAGTGAAATCAGGATTATTTTTTTTTTTTCCTGGTGCAGCACTGCAGAGGAAAAATTCTTGCAGGGGAAATGATGTGAAAACAAGATTCTGACCACTGTGGAGGCAGGGAGAAGCTCCCTTATTTTTTTTGGACAACCGCTCTCTCTCAGAAAATTAAAAGTCCTGGGAAACTTTCAATGTGATTGAGGACAGAAATAGTTTTCTGGCACGGGCTGCTACATACGTCAGTGATGGATCAGAAAAAGCAATCTTTATATTAAATTTGTATATCAAACACTGGATGATGAAAGGAGCAACTTAAGTCCGCTGTCCTGCAATCACAAAATATAATAAAAGTACTCAACAGATGTCTAGTTTGAAAAGGTCTGCAGAGCACGCCGTTTCCATACCAATTGGCACAAGACACCTCCTAATGCCTATAACAAAGCAAGGTCTCACAGGAAAAGAAAGAGTGGAGGTGAAGCGAGTCATGGAAAG